AAGAGTGCTCTCCTGCTGATGTTCAGGTGTATATCAGTATGTAGTGTCTCTACTTTAAAGAGTCCTCTCCGGCTGATGTTCAGGTGTGTATCAGTATGTAGTGTCTCTACATGTCTCCGTGCTTTAATGTTCAAAAAGCTCTTTATTGTTCTGCCTGTGCTGCAGCATCTCTTTTCACCCTCTGTCTGAAACCAGAGCACAGTCTGCTCTGATTGGTTAGCTGGCAGGCTCTGTTGTGATTGGTTGACTGCTTAGTGATGTCCCGCCCCTTAGCCTATCACGAACAATGTGTCGGAGCCCTAGCCAATAGGAGTGCAAGAGTTACGTTGTGATGTCACTATGTGTTTTAGGCAGGGGGGGAGTGTGTGGGAGAGACATGCACTAAAACCTATATAACACACAATTGATTTAATCATTTCAGGTCTGAATCTTTAGATTCTTAAATTCTTATTCTGATATATGAAGCAGCCGGTTTCTGAGACTCAAAGAGTTGGTTCAGTTTAAAACCAGGAGTGGGGAATAATTGAATATAAAAAGATGGATAAAAGGGTTTAGGGTCAGGATGAGCGGGAAAAAGAAAAGAGAGGAAATGTCAGGCGAGGTGAGGGAGAGAAAACACAAAAGAAAAGAAGAAAGGAAGAAAATAAATAATCTTCAAGGAAGAGGGAGATTAAAAAAAGTATCAAAGATCAACTGAAGATCTTTAATCAGTGTCTCCTGTGAACTGTCAATCATCCTTAGGGGAGGAGGAGGAGGGGAGGAGGAAAGGGAGGGAGGAGGAGGAGGGAGGAAAGGGAGTGAGGAGGAGGTAGGGCCGAGAAACATGAAGCAGAGACTTTTATTTTGAAGGGACTGATTGTCAAAAAAAGCTGTCTTGAGGAGAATGTCCTCACCTGTTTAAATTATTTATAAAAACTACATTACCCATGAGCATTAGCTGCTGGTACTGAATTTAGAACTGATCCAAAATCTTACATTGAGACGATTTAAATTGATTTATTTGAACACATTTTCATCTTTACTTCAACAGCAGAAAGTGAAGCTTTCTCTTTCCTGTAGTGTGTTTTATAGGTTTATAGAAACGCCTCCATTTGACTCCTTTGTTTACTTCTGAACATAGTGACATCACTAATGGCGCATTTCCACTACAGCGCGGAGCTCGCTTTAAGCGTGCCGTGCCCAGCCCGTTTTTGGTTGCGTTTCCACTTGGCGTAGGTCCGGCTAGTGGGTACTATTTCACCGTTTTTTGGCCCCATAAAATCGAGGTTCTTTCCGGGCCAACAACCAGGCTGAGTCGGGCTGAGTATGCTAAACTAGAGAGAGAATCGCTGGCAAGGGAGCTACAACTACAACAAAATGAACATATTTCACCGTGATTTAATTGTAATACACGTTTCAAAATGATGCCGAAGTAACAACATACCGATACCGGTTAGTAAAAACCATGAATTAATGCTTTGACAAGTCTGCAGACAGACGGCAGGCGAACAACCTTTTAAAATGCATGTTTTCTGAATGGAGATCGATCGGCTAAGATAACGCAGATGCTCCAACACATTGTACTTGAAAGGCTAAGGGGCGGGACATCTCTAAGCTGTAGACCAATCACAACAGAGGTATAGGGCCCCTTTAACTTTTTTTACAATTATTAATACAAAATATAGTAAACAAATAAATAATGAACTCTAACTTCCGTGCAACTTTAATACAACTTAATCCAATATTATACTAAATATTTGTTCTGTACTTTTACTTTTTGAGTATACTTCAATGTTAACACTCGTACTTTAACGTGTGTGTGTGTGTGTGTGTGTGTGTGTGTGTGTGTGTGTGTGTGTGTGTGTGTGTGTGTGTGTGTGTGTGTGTGTGTGTGTGTGTGTGTGTGTGTGTGTGTGTGTGTGTGTGTGTGTGTGTGTGTGTGTGTGTGTGTGTTGCAGGATTATGTAAAACATTGTGCTCACTGGGACGTTCCTGTTTGACAGCCGTGTGAGAGCTGACCAAGCTGGCGTGCCGGCGTCTTTTTTTTTTTTCTTCTACCCACAATCCCTCTTTGTTCGGCAGCGTGTCTCCGGTCCAGCATGGAAGAGGAGGAGGAGGTTTTGGGGATAGGGGGGCTAAGAAGACACGGATATGAACTTCCTGCAGTCTGTAAAGCCTCAGATCTCCTGAATGTGAAACCCCACGCTTCACTTCTTCTGTTTTGTATTATCTCCAAACACTCCCTCCCTCTGTCGTCTTCTTCTGTTTCACGGTCTTGGCTTGGAATCAAAGCTTGCAACGGTTGGAGAAAAAATGAAAATGCATTAAAAGTAACATATAACAACTAAAGGTAATGAATTGCTGGCTTTATTCTATGTGTAAACTTTAAATAAACGCACTTAAATGTAGTGTCAAGCTTCAATTCATCATGTTTTGGCTTTGAAGACAACTCACTAGGATATAATATTCAAAGTTTTATCAGAAGCCTTCAATATATTTCTTCAACCGAACACCTGATGTGCATCTTTGGAGTCCAAGGTCACGAAGAGTTTTTGTTGGCGGGACTCCCTGAGAAATGTAAAGCATTCGGGTCTTATCGAACAAAACTTTAATACATTTAAGACTTAAGACATTCATTCAAAAGTCTTTCCTTGAGCTTTTTAAAATACCCTCCTCTCTGATGTTTGAATACTCCTTGCGTTTTAATACCGTGCTGCTAAACGTTTGATAGAGTGGGATGTGTTCGGTGTTTTGGGGAATGTAGAGGATGATGGATGGGGAAGTAACGGTGTGAAGTGAATGTTGTGTTCTTTGTATTTCTGGGAATAAACAAAACGGGCGAAACACTGGTTTTCAAATCTCACAAAAGAGTTAAGGCCTTAAAATGAGAGTTAAGGGATTTAATGTTAAGAAGTATAGATTTTGGTTGATTACTGCATCCTGTTTCTTATAGATTGTCTTGGTATACTCGTTAATTAACTACCATGACTTATAGTAATCTTTATTGTTGCTGTATTCTCTCTAGTACACGTGTCAAACTCAAGGCCCGGGGGGCAAATCAGGCCCTTGGTGGATTTAATTTCGGCCCGCAGGATAATTTCTAATTGCTATTAGATCTGGCCCTCCGGTATATTGCACGCACACCTTCACTCCATCCTGAGGGTCTCCTCAGCTCAGAGCCCAAACATTGATGACCTTGCTCCCAAGAGGAGATGCCAAGTATCTGAACTAGCATCACAGAGCAGCACACTGAGTTCAATGGATGTTTCCTTCTGCACTTTCTCTCTCAGGACAACAGGGCATGTTTGGTTTTCTCTTTGAGGGAAATAGTTTTGTTGAAGCTGTTGTTGGCCTGTGGGAAAATGTAATCATAAGAAATGACTCTGGAAAAGCTGCAGATAGAGCCATAAGAAATGAATGCAACTGATTATTTAATGTTGTTTTTATAGGCAATAATTTAAGCTGTGTTAGTTCCAGGTTTAATATGTGCAATAAGTTCATTTCAATAAGTTCTGCAATAAACATTGAACCAGTCCGGCCCTCCACTAGTACCCATTGTTTTTATTTTGGCCCACTGTGTATTTGAGTTTGACCCCCTGCTCTAGTAGTTTTGTTGTTTTAAGAGATTAAAGTAGGTTTTTTAAAGTACTTTTAATCCTACATCAATGCAGTTATAAAGTCATGATAATCTGACTTGAGTACGGTTTTGTTAACTCACCAGTGACCAACCATATACAGTCTGTTGTGTTCAGAAGGCGTTTATTATCTGTGGTCTTGTTCAGTGTTTGCTGCCACCTGCTGGTTTGGATCACCACATTTCAGATGTATTCTTTCTGTTCATGTGTGTTGGTCCTCTCCTATTTAAACTGCATTGTACATGTGAGTTTGATGTTAAAGTTGTGTGTTAGATTGAATCTGTCAGACTTGAAGCAGCTTCTGTGCGACCGACTTTAGAGGAGGGGGATGTTTGAGTATCTGCTCTTTAAGGACTGTACAGAAACTGAAGAGAACTCCTAATCATTTCAAATAAAACGCCACCTCTGAACATCTTGGGAACAGACTGTCATAACAGGGAGGATAATGACCGAATTGAGTTTGAAAAAACTGGTGAATATTACTGATATTACACCGTCAAAATACTCTTACTCGAGCATTGGAAATGTACCTTTTGCAAACATAAGTATGTAGCTTAAAAGTATTTAAGTTAAAGTTAAATATTGTTTCTCATGCATTTTCAACCATTAACAGTTTTCTTTTTCATACCATTCATTTTGTTTACTAATACAACTAAACTAATACATTTTTATATGTAAAGTAAAAGCAGCAAATCTGGAACCATTACATGTTTTTACATAAACAAAAAATGTATTTTCTGTGAATTAACTTGTTGAATGAAAGAGTTTGGTATTTATGGTTCTGTGAAATAAATGAGTCTGATTTATTATTCTTAAATATCAGGTTCATACACTTTATCACCAAGGATTTTCAATGACTTCTCCATGACCTTTACCTAAATGACTCTTTCTCAGCGGTTCCACTGATTTATTTTAACATGGAACAGTAAAATAAGGTCTGCATCTGAAACATGTTGCCTATCTGAAACAAATCAAATAGGCTGACTAGCTTCTACTGAAATCTCACCAGCAAAACACCTCGACAGTTAAAAGCCATTTTACGTTTCATTACTATACGATACAGTATTTATCATCATTATAGAATTACTATTTCGGCGATTAGATAAAATATAAATTATATTTGATGCAACTTTAGTTACATTTCCATGACTTTTCCAAAACTTTGGGAAAAATATTGTTTTCCAAAACTTTTCCAGGGCCTGGAATTAGCATTTTGAATTTCATGAATATTCCAGGTTTTCAATGACCGTAAGAACCCTGGACTATACACTAAACGATAACCCTTGTAGGAATACTAAAAGCATTACCACATGTAAGAAAAAGGGTATTTATATTAAAAACTGCAATAAAGTATGAAGAAATTTTGTTTCCAAAAACATCAGACTGTTTCTGCTTCTCGTCTTTTTATTTTCATCACAACATCATACAAACATCAACAGTGTTGGATATAAACAGACGACTCGTGCCTTCAGAGTTTTCTGATAAAAAGTGATTTTAATCTGCTTCTTGTTTTTGTGACACAAACAGTGAAAGGCTCAGAACCGGGCGCTCACTTTGAATCAAAATATACATCAGATATAAAACCACCATCAGCTCTGACACGTCACTGTGGTATAAAACACGTATGTACAGCTCAACACCCCCGCCCTCCTCCCCCTCCCCCCCCGCCTCTCCCCACACTGAGGCCGTGATGCATTCAAGGCCCCTGGGAAATAACTGAATGTGTATCCGTCAGAAAATACAGGACTTAATGCCAGTGTGTCTTTCATTTTTCTGGCAGACACACTAAAGGAATCTCTGAAAGAATTAACAAAACTATTATTTACATCCAGCAGGTTTTCATTGGTCCACTGGGAGAAAACAGCTGCTCACATCATTAGTTTTGATGTGGTGTGTGTGAATGTTTAAGCTCCTCCACACGGTGTGAAAATGATCTTACACACTCACTGGGAATGTAACAGGCAGATCTTTTCTGAAACATATTGTATTTGTGACATGCATTAAGGCCATTGAAGGAAAGAATAAATCCATTATGGAAACCGGAATGAGGTACATTCAAGAAAAATACTAAATACTTAACATGCACACTTACATGCAGTTTTAAAAGATGCCATTTACATTTTATATTATGTATTGATATTTGGAGCCTTACTTGGCTCAGCGGCTCAGTCTCTAGACTTGGGAACTGAAGAGTTGCCGGTTCAATGTTCACTGTTTTGCGCCGTGACTTAGTATAGACTGTACAGCCATGTAACAGTGCAAAAATATGAGTTTCATCAATTGGTTTGACTGAATTTGGCTCATTCAAAGTTGAATGATTGAAACAAAGCTCATTATTTTCTATCATTTCATTTATTTTTACGTGTATGAATGTGTACGTTTTCAAAGTATCAAAGAATTGTATATCAACACATTTTAAGGTTCAACAACCGGTGAGAAAAGTTGGAAAAAACATTTGAGTTATTAGGAAAATGCACAGCTAACTGGAAAAAGTTAAACATTTATATACAATATTCATGCTAACGGCCTACGAGGGAAGGGTCTTTCATCCAGAACAAGGGCGTCAATTATATTATTTTGTGCGTAGAAACGTAGTCAGTTTAACTCTGTATGGGAACCTTCTCTGAAGCTCTGGAATGAGTCCGGACTTCTGTTCAGTAACTGTTTAAAAGCTCAGCTGCTGAAACCTCCCAGGGGCCTTGAATGCATCACGCCTCAGGGGAAACGGGGAATCGGGGAATCTTCGTCACGAGCAGCTGGAATGTCGACGTAATAATATTAAGACACAGATAAACCAAACCAGCACCTTCTAGTTTCAGCACATTTGTGACGGCCGCGGGGTTTTCTTCTCCGTCAAACTTTCATCTCGGAGTAAAAGAGGAATTAATACCTGATGTCCGACTCGGCGCTGCGTTTGAAGGCACTCACACGTTACATCTGGGTTTGCAATAGAGATCCAGTGAAGCGGTGGAGAAATGAATAAAAACCTCCCACAGGAAAACACCACCAAAGCCTAAACCAGCTCACAATCTTCCATCTTTGTGTGTTATTGTTCTGAAGTCCTTAAAACCAGAAACCTGAGGCAGGCGGATTTGTTGCATCTAAAAAAGGCCGTTTTTGGTTTCAGCTGTAGTGGATCACAAACGTATAAATAAAACCGTTCAGAGGCGAAGCGAGAAGACGAGACAGGCGAACACGTCGCGACTCACAAACCCGACAGAAACAAAGCGACATTCGTCAGATTGTAAAAAGGCAGCAGGAGAAGAACCGCCGAGCCACCGACAAAAAGAAAAACCAACAAGTAAAAGTTGAGGAATGATTAAAATATTGCTACAATATTTGATTTGAATAAAACGTGATTGCATACATGGAAATAAAGAAATCAAAAGGAATAGAGGAACAAAAAGAGTATCTAAAGAAACCCGCTACAACAGAATCCGTTCACATGTTCGACGCTACAGTAACCAGCAGTACAAAACACTAACAAAGGAAAAACACCAATAAAATACACATAAAAGGATATATCTGTAATACATTAACAGTAAACCTTTATCAACTGTAAACCTGCACTTCGCCAATTTACAGAGGCATGATGGGAGATTTTTTTTTTAACATGTCAAAGTCGAGCTCATTCTGACTCCAGGAATAAGGCACAGGGATCATATGAAGGTCAAACTAAGCCTTCTTAACGAGGCCTTCCTTAACGAGGCCTTCCTTAACGAGGCCTTCCTTAACGAGGCCTTCCTTAACGCGGCCGGACTAGATTCTGACTGCTTGTGGGTACATTCTTGACTTCCCAAACGTTGTCAGAGCAGATCATTTAAAAAGATAGAAGCGTTACTTTAGAAGGGGGAAACTTTAGAGAAGAGGATTAGGAACGTCTAAGGACAACTTGAAATCTGAGATTTAAGGGAGAATTCTGAGTTTTTTTAAGTCGGGAAGTCAGCGTTGAGGAGAAAACTTTAATACCTTAATTGCAGGATTAAAGTCTAAAAGGCAAGAGTGGCTAATGGTTAAAAACTTCCCAACAAGGGCACTAATAACTCGATTATAATCAAAATCCTGACTATAATCGGAACATCTGTTTATTTCTGACAAACTCAGAATTCCGACGTCCGACATAAAAATCCAGAATTCTGACTTCCTCCCAAACTCCTTTTTTTCTTAAATTGCCCCCTAATCCTCTTTGAAGGCAAAAGAACCTAAAAATGAGTTTAAAAAAATAATTTAACATCACACCAGACTTCACGGTGGTTTCTTGCAGACGTGCGTAGGAATGATGGGAGTGTAGTGGACACGGTTCAGACGCTCTGAGGCTCAGATGGAGGATTTGGAGAAGGAGACTCGGAGGTGGTGGTTTTCTCCCAGGTCGTGGTTGTGGAACTCGATCAGGGACTCGATGGCTTCCTCCACCGAGCCCATCTGGATCAGAGCCATCTTGTGGTCCTTCCTGAAGGAGAAACATAACAGACGAGGACGATAAGTCAAGGTTTTTATAGGGTGGGACAACCGCAGGAAAATAGGAACGAGAAAAGATAGGTGAAAACAAAAGAGGAAGAGAATATAAGAATTCCAAAAACTATATATTTTCTGACTTTTTTCCAAAAATCTCCAAATTCTGACTTTTCTCCAAATTCTGAAATTGTTCTTACAAATTTGACATCCGCAGGAATATAGGAACGAGAAAAGACACTTGAAAACAAAACAGGATGAGAATTTAAAAAAGATCTATTTTCTGAAAATCTTAAAATTCTGACGTTTTGTCAAAAATCGGAATTTTTTCTCAAAGTTCTGACGTTTTTCTTACAAATTTGACAACCGCAGGAAAATAGGAACGAGAAAAGACACTTGAAAACAAAAAAGGATGAGAATTTAAGAATAAATAAAAAAAATCTATTTCTGAAAATCTCAAAATTCAGATATTTTGTCAAAATCTCAAAATTCTGAAATTTTTCATACAAATTTGACAACCGCAGGAAATTAAGACGTGTATATGGGTTTCAGGAGAGGACGTTTGACTTTAAGATAAAGGACAGCTTGGGAATAGTTGCAAGCTGCTCTCGCGTTTCTGTGCTTCTACATTTACAACAAAGGATTTCAATGTGAGAAAACGCAGCATTATGTACACCAATATGGCTTTGAAAGCAGGGACAGTAAACACAGGACTCACTGGAAGAACTTGAAGGCCTTGACCATGGCTCCTGATGTGGAAAACAGCATCTTGAGGTCGTCCTCCACCACAGACGGCCTGAAAACACAACATAAGCACACTAATTAGCATTTGGCGGTTTCCGTCAGGTGTATAAAGTTCTCCCTGAGTTTGGTCTACAGGCTGCTCCAGCACCTGCAGTGGGAGGACTTACGGGATGTTGGAGAGATGAAGGGTGGCAGAAGGCGGGAAGATGTTGGAGTAGTTTTTGGATCCGGGCTTCTTGAAGCGGTGCAGAGGAGAGTTGCTGTAGTCTTTGGTCAGGCCTTGATCCTCGTGGCCTTCACGGGGAAGCTGAACGCTCGTGTGTTTGGACGGCGTGATGCGGAGAGGCTTCCCGTGAAGCTGCTGCCCGCTCAGGTGGCTCATGGCTGCAAAGGGGAAGGGTGATCCAGTCAGAAATGTTTTTATCTTAAAAAGGTCCCCTATTATACTGTTCTTCATCAATGTATCACAGGTCTCAGATATATCCAGAGCCTGTCTCTGATTGGCTGAAACACCAAACAGATCATTGCAGCATTACCCATAATCCCCTCTGTTTCAGCCCTGTTTCCAAAGTGCTGATTCTCTGTCTGTTACTTTAGATGAAAATAAGGAGCCCCTCCCCACGCCCCTCTGTGAGAGGTTTGGTTACAAAGAACTCAATGTGCTCTAGGAGGAGATTCAGGTGATAAGGGGGGGGGGGGGGGGGGGGGGGGGGGGGGTCAACCACATGTTGATGTAGAAGAGACATGAAGAAGAGGGGACACATGTTGATGTAGAAGAAGACATGAAGAAGAGGGGACACATGTTGATGTAGAAGAGGCATGAAGAAGAGGGGACACATGTTGATGTAGAAGAGACATGAAGAAGAGGGGACACATGTTGATGTAGAAGAGACATGAAGAAGAGGGGACACATGTTGATGTAGAAGAGACATGAAGAAGAGGGGACACATGGTTGATGTAGAAGAGACATGAAGAAGAGGGGACACATGTTGATGTAGAAGAGACATGAAGAAGAGGGGACACATGTTGATGTAGAAGAGACATGAAGAAGAGGGGACACATGTTGATGTAGAAGAGACATGAAGAAGAGGAGACACATGTTGATGTAGAAGAGACATGAAGAAGAGGGGACACATGTTGATGTAGAAGAGACATGAAGAAGAGGGGACACATGTTGATGTAGAAGAGACATGAAGAAGAGGGGACACATGTTGATGTAGAAGAGACATGGAAGAAGAGGGGACACATGTTGATGTAGAAGAGACATGAAGAAGAGGGGACACATGTTGATGTAGAAGAGACATGAAGAAGAGGGGACACATGTTTGATGTAGAAAGAGACATGAAGAAGAGGGGACACATGTTGATGTAGAAGAGACATGAAGAAGAGGGGACACATGTTGATGTAGAAGAGACATGAAGAAGAGGGGACACATGTTGATGTAGAAGAGACATGCAAGAAGAGGGGACAATGTTGATGTAGAAGAGACATGAAGAAGAGGGGACACATGTTGATGTAGAAGAGACATGAAGAAGAGGGGACACATGTTGATGTAAGAAGAGACATTGAAGAAGAGGGGACACATGTTGATGTAGAAGAGACATGAAGAAGAGGGGGACACATGTTGATGTAAGAAAGAGACCATGAAGAAGAGGGGGACACTGTTGATTGTAGAAGAGACATGAAGAAGAGGGGACACATGTTGATGTAGAAGAGACATGAAGAAGAGGGGACACATGTTGATGTAGAAGAGACATGAAGAAGAGGGGACACATGTTGATGTAGAAGAGACATGAAGAAGAGGGGACACATGGTGATGTAGAGGAGACATGAAGAAGAGGGGACACATGTTGATGTAGAAGAGAGATGAAGAAGAGGGGACACATGGTGATGTAGAGGAGACATGAAGAAGAGGGGACACATGTTGATGTAGAAGAGACATGAAGAAGAGGGGACACATGTTGATGTAGAAGAGACATGAAGAAGAGGGGACACATGTTGATGTAGAAGAGACATGGAGAAGAGGGGACACATGTTGATGAAGAAGAGACATGAAGAAGAGGGGACAGATGTTGATGTAGAAGAGACATGGAGAAGAGGGGACACATGTTGATGAAGAAGAGACATGAAGAAGAGGGGACACATGTTGATGAAGAAGAGACATGAAGAAGAGGGGACACATGTTGATGTAGAAGAGACATGAAGAAGAGGGGACACATGTTGATGTAGAAGAGACATGAAGAAGAGGGGACACATGTTGATGAAGAGACATGAAGAAGAGGGGACACATGTTGATGTAGAAGAGACATGAAGAAGAGGGGACACATGTTGATGTAGAAGAGACATGAAGAAGAGGGGACACATGTTGATGTAGAAGAGACATGAAGAAGAGGGGACACATGTAGATGTAGAAGAGACATGGAGAAGAGGGGACACATGTTGATGAAGAAGAGACATGAAGAAGAGGGGACACATGTTGATGTAGAAGAGACATGAAGAAGAGGGGACACATGTTGATGTAGAAGAGACATGAAGAAGAGGGGACACATGTTGATGAAGAAGAGACATGAAGAAGAGGGGACACATGTTGATGTAGAAGAGACATGAAGAAGAGGGGACACATGTTGATGTAGAAGAGACATGAAGAAGAGGGGACACATGTTGATGTAGAAGAGACATGAAGAAGAGGGGACACATGTTGATGTAGAAGAGACATGAAGAAGAGGGGACACATGTTGATGTAGAAGAGACATGAAGAAGAGGGGACACATGGTGATGTAGAGGAGACATGAAGAAGAGGGGACACATGTTGATGTAGAAGAGAGATGAAGAAGAGGGGACACATGGTGATGTAGAGGAGACATGAAGAAGAGGGGACACATGTTGATGTAGAAGAGACATGAAGAAGAGGGGACACATGTTGATGTAGAAGAGACATGGAGAAGAGGGGACACATGTTGATGAAGAAGAGACATGAAGAAGAGGGGACAGATGTTGATGTAGAAGAGACATGGAGAAGAGGGGACACATGTTGATGAAGAAGAGACATGAAGAAGAGGGGACACATGTTGATGAAGAAGAGACATGAAGAAGAGGGGACACATGTTGATGTAGAAGAGACATGAAGAAGAGGGGACACATGTTGATGTAGAAGAGACATGAAGAAGAGGGGACACATGTTGATGAAGAGACATGAAGAAGAGGGGACACATGTTGATGTAGAAGAGACATGAAGAAGAGGGGACACATGTTGATGTAGAAGAGACATGAAGAAGAGGGGACACATGTTGATGTAGAAGAGACATGAAGAAGAGGGGACACATGTAGATGTAGAAGAGACATGGAGAAGAGGGGACACATGTTGATGAAGAAGAGACATGAAGAAGAGGGGACAGATGTTGATGTAGAAGAGACATGGAGAAGAGGGGACACATGTTGATGTAGAAGAGACATGAAGAAGAGGGGACACATGTTGATGAAGAAGAGACATGAAGAAGAGGGGACACATGTTGATGTAGAAGAGACATGAAGAAGAGGGGACACATGTTGATGTAGAAGAGACATGGAGAAGAGGGGACACATGTTGATGTAGAAGAGACATGAAGAAGAGGGGACACATGTTGATGTAGAAGAGACATGAAGAAGAGGGGACACATGTTGATGTAGAAGAGACATGGAGAAGAGGGGACACATGTTGATGTAGAAGAGACATGAAGAAGAGGGGACACATGTTGATGTAGAAGAGACATGAAGAAGAGGGGACACATGTTGATGAAGAAGAGACATGAAGAAGAGGGGACACATGTTGATGTAGAAGAGACATGAAGAAGAGGGGACACATGTTGATGTAGAAGAGACATGAAGAAGAGGGGACACATGTTGATGTAGAAGAGACATGGAGAAGAGGGGACACATGTTGATGAAGAAGAGACATGAAGAAGAGGGGACACATGTTGATGTAGAAGAGACATGAAGAAGAGGGGACACATGTTGATGTAGAAGAGACATGGAGAAGAGGGGACACATGTTGATGTAGAAGAGACATGAAGAAGAGGGGACACATGTTGATGTAGAAGAGACATGAAGAAGAGGATTTTGCACAATAGGTGACCTTTAAATATGTATATCTGTTAAAGTAGTTATAAGTGTAGGAAAGAGGAACAAGCCTCAATATCACGGCTGGTTTAATGTAAAAACACCAGAAGAAGTGTGTTAGGTGGATGCTGTTACCTAGCTGAGCCTGTGTGCAGTCAGACATCTGAACCAGAGCGTTCTCCTTCTTGTTGAACAGGATCTTCACTCTCATCACGTCGCCATAAACACCTAGTCAGAAACAAAGACAAAGGTTAAGCTGTTGTTGACCAGGAAGTGATAAACATAATAATCTAGACTTTGTTAAACCCTACAGACCCTTAGATTAACGCTCAAATTAAACTTATAAAATAACTTCATGTAAAACCTGGAGCGGGAGCGCCTTTGAGGATTACATTTAGAAGGCAGGGGTTTTTCTGGATGTTGAAACACAGGAAATGCAGTGAGGAAATTAAGGGTAAGGGTAGATGGCAGATTACACCGTGTAGGAGCTCTGAATTATGGAGTGTTGACGAGCAGCTGATTCAGCACTGAGGACATGCAAACAGAGAAACCAGGCATGCAAACTCAAAAATGTAGACTATACTTAGATCAGATAAAACACAATAAATGCAGCTTGAAAGAAAAAATAATCCCCTTCTGACTTTTTTCTGAAAATTGCAAAATTCTTCCTTTTTAGAGAAATTCCCCCAATTCAGAGCTTTACACCATTTTCACTTTTTTTCAGTTCTGACTTTTTTTCTCAATCTCATAATTCTGACTTTTATTCTCAATATTTTAAAGATTGATCCTAAAATTCAAACATTTTTCTCAGTGTTCAATTATTTTTCTCAAAAGATCAACATTCTGACTTTTTACAGAAAATCTCAAAATGTCAACAATTTTCTCATAATTCCGACTTTTCCCCCAAATTCAGACTCAATATTCTGAAATGTTTATTACAAATTCGACTTTTCTGAAAATCTGAAAATCCTAAAAATGCTGACATTTTCTTGAAATTATCAATATTTGGAAAAACAAAAAGTTTCTAAAACCACCTCAGAAAGAAATGACTATAAAAGTTCCCAGAGACTCTTTTCTTTCAACCCATATCATTTACTGGCTACATTTTACTATTATTAATTATTTTTCAGAATGTCATCCCCATGACGCGTCCTAAAACCCGGAAGTAAACTCCTTCCGGTTCCTTCGACAAAAACGCAATGCAGTTCCTCCATAGGGTTTAGGAAAATAGCTGAAATAAGGTCTGTGGTTGAAACACATTGAAGAGACGGATCACGTTTTGTTCAGCCGGATAATCTCCACCTACTTTCATAATTTTCTAATCATAAATCTAGTCGCCACGTTATGCTATAAAGCAGTGCTTCTCAAAGTGTGGTCCGCGGACCACTGGTGGTCCGTCAGCGCCCCCTAGTGGTCCGTGAGTATATTGGTAAAATTTCACATTTGAAATAAATACATTTATTTAAGTTTTCCGCACTCTCGCGGGAATATCTCCGCAATGGAACGAGCTTAAGTTTCACTTTCAATTGCATGATATAGCCCAGATAAACACCTTCATCACACATGTTGCCACTTGTTTGTACCATATTCAGGCGATTTGTAAAAAATGATGTGTTTTTGGATATTTGTGGAGTTAGGTGGTCCGCGAGTGTTTTTTTATTGGTTAAGTGGTCTTTGGTATGAAAAAGTTTGAGAAACACTGCTATAAAGGAACTACAGCCGGGTCGCTGCTTCAAAGTCACGCCAACTTAAGATCCATACTCAAACATACAGATTCTAAATGGAACGAGTTGAAGCGTTTGTTTGAACAGTCTGCAGGAGGCAAGGACTTGCTTTCAAGCAGAACAGAAACTAACTTAGAGGAGTGTTCACGTGTTCGGCGTAATGACATACAACGGCCTCGACAACTTCTGTAGTCCTATCCAGCCACTTGGTAACAACCATCGTTTCTCAGACACGTCAACTCTTCAGAAATCTCCAGCGGGGTCACTGCTGATGGATTTAATGTCGTAGAACAAAACGTGATCCGTCTCTTCAATGTGTTTCAACCACAGACCTTATTTCCAGATATTTTCCTAAACCCTATGGATAAATTCCATTGGCTCAGAGACGAGGGAACAGGAAGTGGTCAAATGCTAACTTACTTCCGGGTTTTAGGAGGCGTCACTGCGGCACTCTATGGTACGCCGTTATAAAAAAACATGTGTAAAAAGCTGCAAATATTGTGAATAAACCAAAATCATCAAGCAGAATCTGAGAAAACCAGCAGACAATAATTTCACTTTTCATTATTAATAACAAATGAAAAATGACAAAATAAAAAATCAGAAAAACCATCATAATTTCAAAATAAGAAGCTAGTGACAACATACCGAAGAGAATAAAGAGGCAGTGGGGCGTAACTCTCTTTAAAGACAGCAGAGAAGGCAGCGGAGGGACAGGACAGGTAAAGGTGGGAGGGCAGGACAGGTGGAGGTGTCCGAGGCGTTTCCATGGCAACAAATTAAAATAAGGGGAGAAAAAACAGATGAGGGGTCAATCAGAGGGTTAATTACCTGGAGAGGAGGGGTCAGATAATGATATCAATGTGATTGGACAGGTGTGTGTGTGTGTGTGTGTGTGTGTGTGTGTGTGTGTGCGTGTGTGTGTGTGTGTGTGATAATGTGAACACATTAAAAACATTACAGGGAGTCATAAGGCGAGACACAAGGATAAACACACATGACTCAAACAGCCAATCACAGGACAGAACACTCAAATATCTTTCTGATATCACTATAGGACAACGTTTTAATTGGAAATAAATAATGTCATAATAATACATTAAATATATGTTGATTTATCTCTGAATAATAGCCGTGCATAATTGTAATAGTATTATTTTGCATTTCTATATATTCTTTACTAATTTTCAAGTTTTTTTTGTAATTTTTAGAGCCAATTTTCTCGTCAAATAAAAAACGGATCGTCAATGCCGATTTAAGTGTGGCAACCCCTCTTAAAATCCTCCGCTTTGTAATATTTGATGCACTATTATTAAAGGGTGGAAAGCTATGCATGTTATTCTGTAAATACAGTAGAAATGTCTGTCACTGCCGTTTACAGTACGGCCTTATACTTGTGATTGTTTAACTGTCATTTCTGCTATTACTTCCATTACATTTAGACAAATTGTGGATAGCGTACAGACGTTTAGTCATCTTATAAAGTACCTCTGGGTTCAGGTTGCTGACCAGCAGGACAGAGACTCCTGCAGAGATGTGAGGGAACCCCAGCCTGGAGGCTCCAGGGAGGGAGAGAGCGGCGAGGCCTCCTGGCATCCCAGGGACCAGACCTGGGTAGTGGGAGGACACTGGGGGAGAGGGAGACATTTTGCTTGATTAATATGATTATTTGTATCCAATAGGAGGTCTCTTATAATCTATCTGTATCAATAAGCCCCTTTTTGGCTTCAAACTTCTCCTGCACAACGTTTGAACTTTTTCTTAAATTGTTACGATAAGATAAGATAAGATGGACCTTTATTAATCTCAACATATATACATATTAAATATATTTACATGTATGTGTGCCGGTAAAAACTTATTGTGAAAACAATGCATTATTTATCTGCAGTACTTTATTGCCTCGACGGCACACTTTCATTCAAATCTCACATCAGTAATATCACTCGGTCTGCCTATTTCCATCTACGCAACATCAACCGCCTCCGGCCGTCCCTTAACCCTAAGACCACCGACATTCTTGTTCACACCCTGGTCACTTCCCGCATCGACTACTGCAACTCCCTTCTCTTTGGTCTCCCTCTCAAATCCATCCACAGACTTCAACTGGTTCAGAACTCTGCCGCCCGCATCATCACCAGAACCCCCTCCATTAACCACATGACTCCTGTTCTTCAGCAGCTTCCCTGGCATCACCAGAACCCCCTCCATTAACCACATCTCTCCTGTTCTTCAGCAGCTTCACTGGCATCACCAGAACCCCCTCCATTAACCACATGACTCCTGTTCTTCAGCAGCTTCACTGGCATCACCAGAACCCCCTCCATTAACCACATCACTCCTGTTCTTCAGCAGCTTCACTGGCATCACCAGAACCCCCTCCATTAACCACATCACTCCTGTTCTTCAGCAGCTTCACTGGCATCACCAGAACCCCCTCCATTAACCACATGACTCCTGTTCTTCAGCAGCTTCACTGGCATCACCAGAACCCCCTCCATTAACCACATGACTCCTGTTCTTCAGCAGCTTCACTGGCATCACCAGAACCCCCTCCATTAACCACATCTCTCCTGTTCTTCAGCAGCTTCACTGGCATCACCAGAACCCCCTCCATTAACCACATGACTCCTGTTCTTCAGCAGCTTCACTGGCATCACCAGAACCCCCTCCATTAACCACATGACTCCTGTTCTTCAGCAGCTTCACTGGCATCACCAGAACCCCCTCCATTAACCACATCACTCCTGTTCTTCAGCAGCTTCACTGGCATCACCAGAACCCCCTCCATTAACCACATCACTCCTGTTCTTCAGCAGCTTCACTGGCATCACCAGAACCCCCTCCATTAACCACATGACTCCTGTTCTTCAGCAGCTTCACTGGCATCACCAGAACCCCCTCCATTAACCACATGACTCCTGTTCTTCAGCAGCTTCACTGGCATCACCAGAACCCCCTCCATTAACCACATCACTCCTGTTCTTCAGCAGCTTCACTGGCATCACCAGAACCCCCTCCATTAACCACATCTCTCCTGTTCTTCAGCAGCTTCACTGGCATCACCAGAACCCCCCTCCATTAACCACATCACTCCTGTTCTTCAGCAGCTTCACTGGCATCACCAGAACCCCCTCCATTAACCACATCACTCCTGTTCTTCAGCAGCTTCACTGGCATCACCAGAACCCCCTCCATTAACCACATGACTCCTGTTCTTCAGCAGCTTCACTGGCATCACCAGAACCCCCTCCATTAACCACATCACTCCTGTTCTTCAGCAGCTTCACTGGCATCACCAGAACCCCCTCCATTAACCACATGACTCCTGTTCTTCAGCAGCTTCCCTGGCATCACCAGAACCCCCTCCATTAACCACATCACTCCTGTTCTTCAGCAGCTTCACTGGCATCACCAGAATCCCCTCCATTAACCACATCACTCCTGTTCTTCAGCAGCTTCACTGGCATCACCAGAACCCCCTCCATTAACCACATCACTCCTGTTCTTCAGCAGCTTCACTGGCATCACCAGAACCCCCTCCATTAACCACATGACTCCTGTTCTTCAGCAGCTTCACTGGCATCACCAGAACCCCCTCCATTAACCACATCACTCCTGTTCTTCAGCAGCTTCACTGGCATCACCAGAACCCCCTCCATTAACCACATCACTCCTGTTCTTCAGCAGCTTCCCTGGCATCACCAGAACCCCCTCCATTAACCACATCACTCCTGTTCTTCAGCAGCTTCACTGGCATCACCAGAACCCCCTCCATTAACCACATCACTCCTGTTCTTCAGCAGCTTCCCTGGCATCACCAGAACCCCCTCCATTAACCACATCACTCCTGTTCTTCAGCAGCTTCACTGGCATCACCAGAACCCCCTCCATTAACCACATCACTCCTGTTCTTCAGCAGCTTCACTGGCATCACCAGAACCCCCTCCATTAACCACATCACTCCTGTTCTTCAGCAGCTTCACTGGCATCACCAGAACCCCCTCCATTAACCACATCACTCCTGTTCTTCAGCAGCTTCACTGGCATCACCAGAACCCCCTCCATTAACCACATCACTCCTGTTCTTCAGCAGCTTCCCTGGCTCCCCGTCAAATCCTGTATCGTTTTTAAGATTCTGCTCCTCGCCTTTAAGGCCATCCATAACCTCACTCCTCTGTACCTCTCCGACCTCCTGCACATCAACACACCCATCCGCACACTCAGGTCTTCTGCTTCCCTCAGCCTCACTGCACCCCCCTTCCGTTTAACCACCATGGGGTCTAGAGCCTTCAGCCGCTCTGCACCCCGCCTCTGGAACTCCCTCCCACCTGACATCCGCAACACTGACTCTCTCCCCATTTTCAAATCACGCCTCAAAACATATCTCTTCACACTCGCATATCCACCCTGATCATTATCCATCACACATCCTCTGTTTTATTTATTTGATTTGTTGCATTGTCTTGTTTATGTTTCTTATGCTGGTGTTAGGTATTGTGTATCTTGTTTTTTATGTGTTTGTACGGCGACCTTGAGAGCCTTGAAAGGCGCCTATATAAAATAAATGAATTATTATTATTATTATCTTGTTATATATGCAGTTACTGATAGGAAAGGGTATCATTAAGGTTTTAACAGTACTACTACTTTTATCGATACCGCTTATCGATCCGGTCTTTTATCGGTTCTTTGAGAGAAAAAAGGTAAACTAATTAAACAAATTGTGAACAAAACTAACATTGCTTTTTATTTAAATGAAATAAATAATATTTCACATCAAAAGAAACAACGTTTTCACAAATCGTGTTAAATAATGTGATGACAGAACTGTAAACAGAATAGCTGAAACTTTAACTAAGTAACTCAGTTTCCTCTAATCATTAACCCATGTTTGTATAATGGAGTTAACTCCGTGTGTTGCTGCTAACATACATAACACCTGACGTGGAAACGTTACTCGTGGATGGGGCTACAGAGCTGCTAGAAAGACAGTGGAACCCGGTACATTCCTCCGTCTGGATGTGGTGCACTTTTGCTAAATGTTTAGACACATTGCTCGTGTCACCGCCCTTACATGATAAACTCTTATTCCACTTTAGGCAACGAGCATCGAGACGGGTAAAGTTTAACCACACCTCGGAGCGAGTTCTCTCCGCCATCTCCTCCGTGTGTGTGTGTGTGTGTGTGTTGCTGCATGTAGCAGCTGCGTGTGTGTAAACTGCCCCGCCCCCTCGCACACAGGCGGGGGAGAGAGATCTCGTCTGGATTGGAAAGATCGAAAATACTAAAAATAATCATAGTCTTTTTGTTAGAAACGGAGTTGGCGAAACTAAAACTGCAATATAATGTTTGTGTAGCAATAATACATGCCATATTTTCCGCAGTCTTCAGTACCGATAAAAAGACCGATAGCGTCGGAGCTTAACGGTACCACGGTCTTTAATAATTCAGCCCCGGGGCCCCTTTAATACCGGGGCTCGGTACCCATCCCTAGGTACTGAGGTACTGTGGACAAGCGAGACTATTGTATATTCAGAGAAAAGATGGACCAAAAAAAGAGAGAGAACTTCTTTCCCAGCTGGTAATCTGCATCACATGCATGCAGATATGGAAAACCAGATGCACCGTGGTGCTAAACCAAACAATAATTAACAGTGGCACTGTCATTAAACACATCCTAACCGAATTAAGGAGGAGGAAAAGCCTTGACTTTACCATGGACCGTAATGAGTCAACGTGATTGAACAAAGGCGATCGGACAATGCACTTTCTGCACCTCTGAAATGCTGTTATTGTGTGTTTAAGTATGTATTCGTATATTATGTGTATTTTCAATGTAGTATTTTGTGTATGTCTATTATGTATTGACAAAACAATTTAAAGGTGAGACTGACTTGTGGGCTGCAGGGTGAAGGCGGGGGGGAAGCCGTGGGCCGCTCCTCCGTACGGGCCGGCTGAGATGATTCCTGGAGCTGCAGAGAACAAAGCGCAGTCAGAAAATCCCCCGTGATGAGTGTCTCCATGCAAGACTCTGAATGTGGACTGCATGTCCTGATCCTGCAAGCACGTGGTTCAGCAGTAGGACATCGGGCTACATTCTGCCTTTTTACAGAAAATCTCAACAGTTCCTCAAAATTCTGACTTTTCCCCCCAATTTCCAAATTCAAGATTCTTTAATTACAATTCCGACTTTTTACAGAAAATTACAACAATTATTAGTGTGTGTGTGTGTGTGTGTGTGTGTGTGTGTGTGTGTGTGTGTGTGTGTGTGTCTGTCTGTCTGTGTCTGTCTGTGTATGTGTCTGTCTGTGTATGTGTATGTCTGTGTATGTGTATGTCTGTGTATGTGTCTGTCTGTGTATGTGTCTGTCTGTGTATGTGTATGTCTGTGTATCTGTCTGTGTGTGCGTATGTGTGTGTATATGTGTGTGTGTGTGTGTGTGTGTATGTGTGTGTATGTGTGTATGTGTGTGTATGTGTGTGTATGTGTGTGTGTATGTGTGTGTATGTATGTGTGTCTTACTGAAGGCGCTCATGCCCGGGTGCTCCATGGTGGGCTGGCTGTCCCCACTGGGCAGGTCTGGTCTGGTGAAGTCGCGGCTCTTCTCGTTGTTGTACTTGACGTTGAGGCTGGTGAGTTTAGAGAAGCTGATCCTCAGAGTGCAGCAGCCGTTGTAGATGTTCTGTCCGTCCAGAGACTGAAACGCAGAGAGAACAGCTGCTCAACACCTCTCTAATTTAACTGGGACTCTAATGCATTAAGTGCAAATTCTGTGTTTGAAATCAATAGAACATCTTAAAGTCCCTTGAACTTTCATTTGTGTTGTAACCGAGTGTTAAAGGGGGATTGTGCTTGATATGGTACATATGTTTGATTGTATGACTGCGTAGGAAATAAATACATTATTAAAAACACACAATAAAATAACAATAAGGACTTAATCGTGAATAAATAGTGATAGCTTTTGTATGTCTAAATGTTATTTTTGTGTGTGTGTGTGTGTGTGTGTGTGTGTGTGTGTGTGTGTGTGTGTGTGTGTGTGTGTGTGTGTGTGTGTGTGTGTGTGTGTGTGTGTGTGTGTGTGTGATGCTCACCAGTTTGGCTGACTGGGCGGAGGCTCCTTCAGCGTACTGCAGCAGAGCCTGAAACTGACTGTTCTTAGTGAAGACGATGATCCTCAGCACCGTGCCGAACTTTGAGAAGATCTGAGGACCAGAGAGGAATCAGGGAGTGTTTTTATTACAGGAGTTGTAAACAATGATGGTAAAGAAAACAGCATTCAAGATTCAAAGGTGTTATTGTCATATGCACAAAGCTAGTGTAGAAATGGCAATGACATTCTTCTGACCTGAGCATTTGTGTTGTTGTTGTGTTTACCTGGCAGAGGGCGTCCAGTGTGACGGGGTAGATCAGGTTCTCCACCACCACCCTCAGCACGGTGCTGGGAGCCACCACTACCCCGTCCACATGTGAGGAAGTGAGGGCGCGAAGAGCTGCCTGGGCTCTCTGAGGGAGGAGAGAGAGCAAGAGCAGGATTTACATGCTATTCTTTAGCTTAAGGAGGTTCCTAACTCCTAACAATATGTCCAGAACTCTGCCGCCAGGCTTCTCACCCGCACCAAGCCATGGCACCATATCACCCCCACCCTCATCCACCTACATTGGCTGCCGGTCAAGTCCCGGATTCAATACAAAACACTCCTCCTCACGTACAAGTCCCTCCATACCCTCACCCCTCAGTACTTATCGGACCTCCTCCATCCCTACACCCCTTCTCGGAGTCTGCGGTCCTCAGACACGGCCTGCTCTCCATCCCCCGCTCTCGCCTCCGAACTGTTGGTGACAGGGCATTCAGTGTTGCGGCCCCCACCCTCTGGAATGCACTTCCTGCCGAGATCCGTAATGCTGCCTCCCTGGACATCTTCAAATCATCATTAAAAACACACCTGTTCACCCTGGCCTTCGGGCCCGAGCCCTTTTCTGGTCCCCCGGCTTCCTTTATTTATTTATTTGGTTTGCCCGTTGATTGTCTGTTTGTTTTGTTTGTCCACCATGTACAGCGACCTTGGGTCCCTTGAAAGGCGCTATATAAATATCATTTATTATTATTATTATTAACTGAGTGAAATGACCCAGGCGTACTTTAGTGGCAGCCATGGTAAGAGCAGTTCAAATGATCTAGATCAGGGGTTTTCAAAGTGTGGGAACATAACAGCCGCGCCAGATACACAAACCGTCCTTTACGAAAAGGATAGATGAGGCTGTCCCATCCTTCGCTTGATAGAAACTCACATTTTGGCGTTCATGGAAACAACTGCTTATCACGACCATCAAACACAGGTTTTGTAAGTTATCATTTTCAACACTATTTTCTGTTGTGAAATGATCAAAACAAAGTCAACATGTGAAGATGTTTCCTGAGTTGTGTTTGAGTTTCTTGAGCTTATTTGTGCTTAAACCCTGAGAGATGGTTACCTCCTGGTTGGGGGAGTTGTCGGTCTTCAGCTCCTTGTGGTTGGAGAACTGGATGTAGACCGGGTGGTGCCTGATGATGGGCACCAGTGTGGAGTAATATCCCACCATGTTCTGAGCCGCTTCCTCCGAGTTCATCTCTAAGAAGGCCTGAAGAGGGAGGAGAGGTGAGTATGGTAACGGAAGTGTAAAATAATAATACTGCAGACCCTGCTGAGCTTAGGGACTAGGGATACATATCGTTGACTTTTTTACGATACTGATACCACTGAACGATACCGATACATATCGTGATACTTTCTTGTTGCATAAGGGAACATTGAAGCGCTTTATGATAGTTAACATGTCAAATGAATATTACAATTAATTGTGGGACTTCAACCTTTTAGTACTGAACAAACAATGAAAAACACGTTTGACAACACGGGCTTGCAGACTGTACATTCCTGTACTCTGATTTTATGTGACAGTAGCAAATGTTTTGAGAGGTTGGATGTGTTGCCGCTAGTGCTGCGTACCTGGACTCACATTCAGGCTTGTGTCAAGTTGTGCGAGTAACTAAAGTGAACTTATTGTGAGCTAATTATCAATTGAAAATTAACTCATAATCAACTTAAATTCAAACTCGTCAGGTTTATTGTGCTCCCTTCCAACTTGTGTCTACATTTCTCTACAAAGTACAAATGTAAAAAAAACACTTTTTGCCACTTAGTCTACAAATGACTTATGACAGCAACTACAGTGAACTACTACAAAGTGCAAACATTTATTTCATTTACCAAACTAAAGTAACCGAACAGTCCCTGAGCTGACTGAGCCTAAATCCCTAAAACGTTGCTGAAAGGTAGAGTGTAGAGTAGACTATACGCATTACACTGTTACACACCTACTATACAGTATAGGCTACACTGTAGTGACTGTACAGTCAGAGTGTACTGTACTGTCTGTACACCATGTATTTTCTACAACTCTACATGTGTAGAGTTATACAGTACATACTACTTACATAGTGATGTACATACATACTGTTAGAAATTAAAAGCAATATGGCGTAATTTTGAATTAAATACACTATTTAATTTAAATCAGTTTTATTCTGAAAAAACCGGAAGTTCACACTATTAACGTAATACTTTTATTCTGAAAATTATTCACTTCCGGTTAGCATTAGCATGTGGCGAAATGCTACGTTTTCAAACCGTGAATCGAAGGTGAAATGACATGTGATGTTGTACACTGAGCACACTGGGATTAGCACTCATTTATTGACGCTGAATAACGTTTATCAGGGAATGTTTAAATAACCACAGACACCAGAATATACGTAAGTGCTAGTTTTTTTGCGAGTCCAAGTACCGGTTCCCGACGTTCCGGTTTTAACCGGACTTGAACCGACATTTTTTACAAGTCCAGTACCGGTTCTGCGTACCGGTTCGGCGTACCGGTACGCAGCACTAGTTGCCGCCTTTCCCAGAAATAAACTTCTTGCAGTGGTTACAGACCCCACCATTCAGACTGGCAGTGGTTACAGACCCCACCATTCAGACTGGCAGTGGTTACAGACCCCACCATTCAGACTGGCAGTGGTTACAGACCCCACCATTCAGACAGGCAGTGGTTACAGACCCCACCATTCAGACAGGCAGTGGTTACAGACCCCACCATTCAGACTGGCAGTGGTTACAGACCCCACCATTCAGACAGGCAGTGGTTACAGACCCCACCATACAGACTTGCAGTGGTTGCAGACCCCACCATTCAGACTGGCAGTGGTTACAGACCCCACCATTCAGACTGGCAGTGGTTACAGGACCCCACCATTCAGACAGGCAGTGGTTACAGACCCCACCATTCAGACTGGCAGTGGTTACAGACCCCACCATTCAGACTGGCAGTGGTTACAGACCCCACCATTCAGACAGGCAGTGGTTACAGACCCCACCATTCAGACTGGCAGTGGTTACAGACCCCACCATTCAGACAGGCAGTGGTTACAGACCCCACCATTCAGACTGGCAGTGGTTAGAGACCCCACCATTCAGACTGGCAGTGGTTACAGACCCCACCATTCAGACTGGCAGTGGTTACAGACCCCACCATTCAGACTGGCAGTGGTTACAGACCCCACCATTCAGACTGGCAGTGGTTACAGACCCCACCATTCAGACTGGCAGTGGTTACAGACCCCACCATTCAGACTGGCAGTGGTTACAGACCCCACCATTCAGACTGGCAGTGGTTACAGACCCCACCATTCAGACTGGCAGTGGTTCCAACCCCACCAATCAGACTGGCAGTGGTTAGAGACCCCACCATTCAGACTGGCAGTGGTTACAGACCCCACCATTCAGACTGGCAGTGGTTACAGACCCCACCATTCAGACTGGCAGTGGTTACAGACCCCACCATTCAGACTGGCAGTGGTTACAGACCCCACCATTCAGACTGGCAGTGGTTACAGACCCCACCATTCAGACTGGCAGTGGTTACAGACCCCACCATTCAGACTGGCAGTGGTTCCAGACCCCACCATTCAGACTGGCAGTGGTTCCAACCCCACCAATCAGACTGGCAGTGGTTAGAGACCCCACCATTCAGACTGGCAGTGGTTACAGACCCCACCATTCAGACTGGCAGTGGTTACAGAACCCACCATTCAGACTGGCAGTCATATGCAGCCAGACTTTAGATTTTCGTGCTGACATTGCGCAAATGAAAAAACGAAAGCTAACCGAAAGGCTCAGACGTTTGGGAGGAAGGTGAAGGGCGTTGCTTGGCAATCAAGCCAATCACCGAAGCCGTTGCAAGACGTGCAAACGGATTGGCTGGTGGTTTGGGCGTGAGTTTAAGGATATCACGCCTAACTTAAAAAAAAAAATCGAAAAAATATCAAAAACCGGATCTGATTTCGGTACGGTATAACGTAGCCGCCAGTAACCGGTATTTCGGTAATACCGGGAACCGGTATGCACCCCTATTAGGGACCCCACTCTACCAGATATATTGTAATGCTATGTAATAGAGCTGCTCAATTAAAGCCAAAACCACAATTATTTTGATCAGTATTGAGATCACTGTTATTCATCATAAACCAAATTATCCAAATAAACAAAGCACTTCTTTTTACTTCCATGTCGTGCTACAAATATTGGAAAACCTTCATTGCAATATTTATTTTTCTGTGATAGTTATTGCAATATTAATGGGATATTCACCCTACATTAATAAATTCAACATGTTATGCATTTTGAAGGCAACATAATGAAGCTATATTAAGATTTGATCATCTTTACATAGGTTGATAATACAGCTCAAAGGACACCGCAAAATGTTTTTAAATCGCTTATTTCAAACTTTAAAATGTGATTATTCCTGCAGCTCTAGTATTTAATATCCTTTTTTAAATATATGTTTGACGACAGTAGTTCCCAGTCAGCGTGCGTCACCTGGTTTTTGGCTTTGAGCATCAGCAGGTTGGTGACGTCTCCGAAGGGCAGACCGAGGCTGATGACACACCTACTATACAGTATAGGCTACACTGTAGTGACTGTACAGTCAGAGTGTACTGTACTGTCTGTACACCATGTATTTTCTACAACTCTACATGTGTAGAGTTATACAGTACATACTACTTACATAGTGATGTACATACATACTGTTAGAAATTAAAAGCAATATGGCGTAATTTTGAATTAAATACACTATTTAATTTAAATCAGTTTTATTCTGAAAAAACCGGAAGTTCACACTATTAACGTAATACTTTTATTCTGAAAATTATTCACTTCCGGTTAGCATTAGCATGTGGCGAAATGCTACGTTTTCAAACCGTGAATCGAAGGTGAAATGACATGTGATGTTGTACACTGAGCACACTGGGATTAGCACTCATTTATTGACGCTGAATAACGTTTATCAGGGAATGTTTAAATAACCACAGACACCAGAATATACGTAAGTGCTAGTTTTTTTGCGAGTCCAAGTACCGGTTCCCGACGTTCCGGTTTTAACCGGACTTGAACCGACATTTTTTACAAGTCCAGTACCGGTTCTGCGTACCGGTTCGGCGTACCGGTACGCAGCACTAGTTGCCGCCTTTCCCAGAAATAAACTTCTTGCAGTGGTTACAGACCCCACCATTCAGACTGGCAGTGGTTACAGACCCCACCATTCAGACTGGCAGTGGTTACAGACCCCACCATTCAGACTGGCAGTGGTTACAGACCCCACCATTCAGACAGGCAGTGGTTACAGACCCCACCATTCAGACAGGCAGTGGTTACAGACCCCACCATTCAGACTGGCAGTGGTTACAGACCCCACCATTCAGACAGGCAGTGGTTACAGACCCCACCATACAGACTTGCAGTGGTTGCAGACCCCACCATTCAGACTGGCAGTGGTTACAGACCCCACCATTCAGACTGGCAGTGGTTACAGACCCCACCATTCAGACAGGCAGTGGTTACAGACCCCACCATTCAGACTGGCAGTGGTTACAGACCCCACCATTCAGACTGGCAGTGGTTACAGACCCCACCATTCAGACAGGCAGTGGTTACAGACCCCACCATTCAGACTGGCAGTGGTTACAGACCCCACCATTCAGACAGGCAGTGGTTACAGACCCCACCATTCAGACTGGCAGTGGTTCCAACCCCACCAATCAGACTGGCAGTGGTTAGAGACCCCACCATTCAGACTGGCAGTGGTTACAGACCCCACCATTCAGACTGGCAGTGGTTACAGACCCCACCATTCAGACTGGCAGTGGTTACAGACCCCACCATTCAGACTGGCAGTGGTTACAGACCCCACCATTCAGACTGGCAGTGGTTACAGACCCCACCATTCAGACTGGCAGTGGTTACAGACCCCACCATTCAGACTGGCAGTGGTTCCAGACCCCACCATTCAGACTGGCAGTGGTTCCAACCCCACCAATCAGACTGGCAGTGGTTAGAGACCCCACCATTCAGACTGGCAGTGGTTACAGACCCCACCATTCAGACTGGCAGTGGTTACAGAACCCACCATTCAGACTGGCAGTCATATGCAGCCAGACTTTAGATTTTCGTGCTGACATTGCGCAAATGAAAAAAACGAAAGCTAACCGAAAGGCTCAGACGTTTGGGAGGAAGGTGAAGGGCGTTGCTTGGCAATCAAGCCAATCACCGAAGCCGTTGCAAGACGTGCAAACGGATTGGCTGGTGGTTTGGGCGTGAGTTTAAGGATATCACGCCTAACTTAAAAAAAAAAAATCGAAAAAATATCAAAAACCGGATCTGATTTCGGTACGGTATAACGTAGCCGCCAGTAACCGGTATTTCGGTAATACCGGGAACCGGTATGCACCCCTATTAGGGACCCCACTCTACCAGATATATTGTAATGCTATGTAATAGAGCTGCTCAATTAAAGCCAAAACCACAATTATTTTGATCAGTATTGAGATCACTGTTATTCATCATAAACCAAATTATCCAAATAAACAAAGCACTTCTTTTTACTTCCATGTCGTGCTACAAATATTGGAAAACCTTCATTGCAATATTTATTTTTCTGTGATAGTTATTGCAATATTAATGGGATATTCACCCTACATTAATAAATTCAACATGTTATGCATTTTGAAGGCAACATAATGAAGCTATATTAAGATTTGATCATCTTTACATAGGTTGATAATACAGCTCAAAGGACACCGCAAAATGTTTTTAAATCGCTTATTTCAAACTTTAAAATGTGATTATTCCTGCAGCTCTAGTATTTAATATCCTTTTTTAAATATATGTTTGACGACAGTAGTTCCCAGTCAGCGTGCGTCACCTGGTTTTTGGCTTTGAGCATCAGCAGGTTGGTGACGTCTCCGAAGGGCAGACCGAGGCTGATGACCTCGGCCTCACTGATGTCAGTCGGGAGCTTTCGGATGTGGATGACCCTGGACGGCACGCCGGGGCCTCTTATGTCACCTTTGAACTTCTTACTGTCGTTGCCATTGGCTACAGAGGACAGGAGACAACAACAGCAGCAGCAGGTCAAGACAAATTCATAACAGAAACACTGATGATACACCAGCAGTGATGGGTTATATCCATTCGGATTATTCTACTACTCTTAATACGATTTATCACTGAGCACATTTTTAAGAAATTGCAATTTGTATACAACAAAAAAATACAAAGTGATGTATCTGACCTGTGGTGCTCATGATATACGGGGCGCTGGAGACGCTGGGGAAAAGCTCTTCAGATCCTCTCTGAAAAACATCAAAACAAAACACCCGTTAATTTCCTTAATTACAATTATTCTAAATAAACATTAATAATAAAAGACATTTTAGCAAACTAGCCGTCAGGAAAACATTTTAACAAAGCTGCGGTTTTGATAAACTAGAGCCTCAGTTTAATCTAAGGATGCTAATAAGCATGCAGGCTACAATAATAGTAAATGTTTGGTCGGTAAAATGTCAGAAAATATAAAAATGTGTTCTTAACAAATTGTTCGATGACATATTTGGTTTATAATCACAAAACTAAAAGCAGGACATCTCCACAGGGAGCATTCGATTCCATTTCGCCTTTAAAGAATGTCTGTTTTATTTAAGGAAGTGATTATCAAAAAGGTTTTTTGGAGGATTTTCTGCTTTTTAGTTAGAAGTTAAAAGTGAAAGTGGCACAAGCATGCTGCTGCCACCAGAGGTCAGTAAAGAGCATCGTCTCACTAACACATACTGTGTATATATTTAGCACAACTGAGGTGAACTGTCCTTTGTGTCATTTCAACCGTTAATATGAAACGGGTCAAACATCCGCCGTCATCCCCCTTCTTCGACCCACAAAGAGCAGTCGAGTGTGTGTGAGTATGAGTGTGTGTGTAAGGGGGGTGAATTCCTGTGTTGTGGAGCTCAATGAAAACCAGATGTAGACAAACAGGCTGGGCCACATTCAACACACTGCAGTTCTTCTACTGTTTGTCACTGATGCATTTAACACTTCAGAATGATAAGCTTCTGCTCAATGCTCGGGTTGGGGACAAAAGGATTTCGACCAAATACAGTCAGTACTACAGAATACAGATTCACTTTAAAACAATTGTTGCCCAATGTAATATATAAGTACCTGAAATTGCATCTCGGAAGAAGAGTAACTTAATTTAGAGAGAGAGAGACCAGGCCTGAAGAGGGACACAGGAAAAGTTAGAATGGCATCAACATGAAACCTTTTAATGACACGGTTCCATTTTCTTTTACAACATCAATGTTTTCGACCACTTTTTAAAGTCACCTGAGAGTCATCTGGGTTAAAGAGCACCCGACATGTTATGGAGACCTAGGGGAAACTATACCACGTAATGCTACAGCTTGTTTGAGTCACAGTGAGGTTACACTTCTCTTTTGAGACTAGATATGGTTTTAGTTATGTGTTATTTTGATAGGTTGCATTACAGTCAAGTCACTTTCTGACCTGTTCAAGCAGTTGTATTATAACCTCTGCCTGTCTACTCAATATATACCCACTGCAGTCAGCATCCACGAAACTAATGGCTATTCATCAAAAAAACAAAGTTACAATATTGTCGCTTTATCAATGTATGTGATGAGAAATATTGTAATCTTCTGCATACAACCCAGCCCTACGTCACTAGCGACGTCTCAATGACACGACTCAGGATGGCGTTTCATTTTGGCTGACAGCATGGCGCTGCAACAGCCGCTTTTGTTTTTTTGAAAAGGTTCAGCATGCAGCAAGGCTCGCCATCTGTAAACACAGCATTTGAAGTGTGCCCTTTCTCCTCCGTGCAACAAGTAAGCAAACAAAGAGAGAGTTAGCATCATGTGTTGAGTGAGCCTGCACCAGTCAATACAATCTATAAAACAGTTTTAAAAATGTGCAATTTCTGGATCTAGCACTTCTAGCTAATGTAGCTGCAGGATGCTTGCCTCTCTTCTGCATCAGATTAATGAAACGCAAAGTAAGAAAGCAGTGAATCAGAGATAATAAATGATATTTTCTGTTTGTGTCACAACAATGATATTCACTAGACCAGGGGGGTCAAACTCAAGGCCCGGGGGCCAAATCCAGCCCGTGACTCCATTTTATGTGGCTCCACAAGAGCTTGCAAAGAATATAATAAGTTTATTATACGGTTCGATGCTACTTTACAGAAGCACGTTGCCCAAAAACTACATGTCCCACAATGCATCTCAAATTTGACTTTTTTCTCAGAATTAGATTTTTTTTTTTTATGTCACTTTCCACAGAAATGTTACTTTCTTTTCAAAATGTCACTTCTTTGTTTTGTTTTTCCAGAATTTGGCTTTTCTTTTTAAATCATTGTGACTTTCTCACTGAAGAGACCTGCAATTATTTGCACTAGACTTCTGCTTTCAGACGTAGTTAATTATGAAGTTATTACCCTATCCGATAGCAATCCAATGCAGAGGAAATAATGTAATATAATGCATTATTTTATATATATTAAATATTTATATATGTATTTTTATATAGTCTTAAAGTTACAACCGGCCCTTTGAGTGCAACCTTCATGCTGATATGGCCCGTGATGAAATTGAGTTTGACACCCCTGCACTAGACACCCTGCAGGAAGGTGTTGGACTCAAAATGAATGCAGTGAGGTGCACACTTCGTCCTGCTGAGTGTGTCACTTCCATATGAAAAACACAGGAGAGTTTGACATGATGCATTTGTGTGTTTCTTTGGATCGGAAGCAGCCTGGTTCTCTGAGAGGAACCTGAGCAGCACACATTTCCATCTGAACAAAAGCAGCTGAGATCTCCTTACAGCGCCTGCCATGAATAATAGAGCAGAAACCTGAGTGCTGCTGTCCCTCTCTGGATCTGCTGTCGGACAGCTGCTGACCGACTGACCGGCTGCCTCAGGCTGAAGGAGGACAAAAGACACCGAGACAGACAGACAGCTAACAGTCTGTCAACCAGCGAACCACAACAAGATGACTGTTGATATAATGACTGAGGAGCTCCGTCTCAAAACTGCAGCAAATCCATAACCTGAACTCACTTCTTTCCTTCTCTGTCTGCAGACCAAACTATAAGCTGAATCATTTCAATCGCAACATGGACGAGTGCAACATTGCATTAAGCGCAATATTTGGTAAAGATTCAAATCAAAATCATGTTTATATATTTTTTAATGTGACTACGGTTACAAAAAGGATAATTTGCTGCATTCTGCAATTACAATATCAGTGAAAATACATGCAATTAGTTGTTTTTAAAACGGTGCAGCCGTGGCTTATTTGGTTGTACATCTTCACGTTTCTGCAACTACGGGCTAGCGCTATGCATTTGGTTGTTCAGATATAACTGCACACAAATACTGATAAAAGATAAGAGCTTTAATTAAAATGTAAAATAATCAATTCCTTTTTCACTAATAATATCTCCGTTTTTTTTTGTAAGACAGCCACTTTGTTTTACAAGAGTATTAAGGTGGGGTAGGTAAGAACGGAGAAACCAGCTCGAGTGCGCTAGAATTTAAAAATACACAACCGGGAAAAATCCTTCCTTCAGACTTCCTTACAGAGCCCCTCCTCCAACACACACGAACGAGCACATGACCAATGAGGGCACGAGATAAGTTTGTGCCCAGATGGAAGGCTGACAGGCAGGTAGGCCATCCAGTTACTTTAGCCGGCTCAGATGATTGGTCGTGCTTTTTACAGCGCCACGGCTTCCACAGATGAAATGTTTATGTATTTATTGTCAAAGCATTTAATGTATTCATTGCTATCGGCATGTTAAGAGCATTCCATGGAATATAACAAGTGTTTCTGGAGTGAATTACCTACCCCACCTTTAAGTGCAGCTTTGTGAAACTGCATTTGAGTTCATATTTGACCAAATTAATTAGTTTACAGCATTGACTTTGTTTTATTGGGATACATTTGATGTTCTTAACCGTTTTCTCCTTTCTCAAGAGCGATTATACAAAAGGTGATAAATGACTACCTTGTGTTAGGGCTGCTCAATTAATCGTATTTTAAATCGCGATTACGGCTTGCAACGATTACGAAAACAACGTAATCGAAATAAAACGATTATTTTTTAATTATTACTTTATTTTTTTCAGTTGAATTCTACTTAAAGTTCAGGGTAATCAACTGTTAAAAACATACTGTTCAAATGTTTTTTCTCCAATAAATGGATGTTTTCAAAGTCAATGAATAATCGCAATTACAATTATTGACCCAAATAATCGAGATTAAGATTTTTGCCATGATCGAGCAGCCCTACCTTGAGTATCTGATATGAGACTCCTCCTTGGCTTTGAGGAGTTACATGTTTGGTCTACTGCAGTCCTCTAGTGACCTTCAATGACTTCACACTTATTAAACTGAATATTATGTCTATGTGCACATTCTGACAATCATGCAACATTACGTTTGTCTATTATCGTCTTCTGCTTAAATTTGAAGAAAGAAAAAAGAACACGTACCAAAACCAGTTCTTAAACTGGATCCATTGAAGACGTTTTCGGTTTAGTTCAACAACTGGTGGTTTCTTTGGTTGTTTGATAAATTGATCAGATATGATTTTGGTTTGCTGGCATGCAGAGTCTGCGTGTCACAACTAGTGATTGCTCAGAAGCTTTTATTACGAGTAAATCATATCCTCTCCGACAGACTTCTTGCAGACAAGTCATTCAACATTTTCTATTAAGACACAACAACTTTGTAGCATGATGATGGGTTTCAGTTCATAGAGCTCTCTTGACATCGCATGTCCTTCAATATGACTATTGCGCATGCACGGTTAATGTAGAGTAATTCTGACACGGCCTATAGTTACGTTTATTTCTATTTAAAAGCACATAAAGTCCTGCCAAAGCACAGGTGTACAAGAGGTCATTTTAAATCGCACTTTCCCTCTTGCTACTCGTGCTATTTCATCATTTGTTTATTTTAATTAGGAAGACTTGAGATTTCAAAGCAAATGACGTTAATATAACTTGACATGAATTATTATTCCAACAGACTATGGATTCTAGTGAGATGGGCGAGGGTAGCAACACTTCTTAACAAACTACCGGTAGTATAAACTCTGATCCGTCCCTTTAAAAGGATCCGTGTTCAGGACGGTTTCAGATGACTCGCTTGAGGCCAGAGGAGGAAACAGGAGAGCTGTACGTCGTCCTCCTCCTCCTCTTCACAGCTTCTCTAAACCTTCATGTGGTTTTGGCCCAGACTTTAAATTAAAAAAAAGCGGCGGCGGCGGCGGTCACCACGATGAAGCCGGACGCTGACCACCACAGTGAGAATGTGAAAAATGCTGCAGTTTCACATCCATGCACTCAAGTACTTTTCTAACAGTGAGACTACTACTCTCCTAGCTCCATCATAGGGATCCAACAATCATTGAAATAGGTCGATGTTGGATTAACACAAAGCCCCTAACAAGGAGAGAAACGTGGCTCTTGTTCCACCTTACATCACTACAGGTAACGCACAAAGAACGACGGAAATGTAAATGCCAGAAATGTCACTAAAAAGTGTATCCTCGTGGTTGGGGTTATAAAAAGTCGATGTATTGATGAAACTAAAATGTGACAAAGTGCAGTCAAACGGGATCCCTGGAATAAGTGACGACAGACAGAGAGCATGTGACGTCAATGTGCAATGAAGCTTTGAAATTGTGTACACATTTAAAAAAAGAATTGGTATATAAACCTAGCCAATAAAGAGACACAACACTCCTTTCTGGAAACAAAGCACTACAAACTCTTCTGTAGTACACGATGAACACTTTTGCAGAAGGCATCCGGTCACAGAAGGCTATAAAACTGCAAAAGCATTTCATAATTTATGCTTTCTATTGTAATAAAGGTTGTTCTCCCCATGTCACTGCGGCTTTACAAGCAATCATTCACTCAGATATTCATCTTCAAGCAGATGCTTCTTAATGGGAGGATATCCTGTCCCCATGACTACAGAAAGACCTCTAATGTGAGACTGTACTTCAGGTTCATAAAGGCCACGCCCACCACATCAGAGTGATCAGCTGATTGGCTCTAATAAAGCACTGGAGCAGTCAGACTGGTTCAGAACTGAAGACACGTCACGGCTTAGATGTGAAGTCTGTTACATAAAACAAACACCTGACATTTCCCGTTTCCTCCTCTGACTTTCACACCGAT